TGTTTTCGCTTGTCCGTCGGCTGCACTGGTCGCCCCAGGCTCGCCCGCCGCCTCGCGGTCGCTCGGCCCCTCGGCTGGCCCAATTCATTGGTTTTGTTTGTTTTTGTTTGTTTTCGCTTGTCCGTCGGCTGCGCTGGTCGCCCCAGGCTCTCCCGCCGCCCCGCGGGCGCTCGGCCCCTCGGCTGGCCCAATTCATTGGTTTTGTTTGTTCTTGTTTGTTTTCGCTTGTCCGTCGGCTGCACTGGTCGCCCCAGGCTCGCCCGCCGCCCCGCGGGCGCTCGGCCCCTCGGCTGGCCCAATTCATTGGTTTTGTTTGTTGTTGTTTGTTTTCGCTTGTCCGTCGGCTGCTCTGGTCGCCCCAGGCTCGCCCGCCGCCCCGCGGTTTCTTTGTTTCTGCTTGTTTTCGCTTGTCCGTTGGCTGCACTGGTCGCCTCGGGCTCGCCCGCCGCCCCGCGGTCGCTCGGCCCCTCGGCTGGCCAAATGCATTGGTTTTGCGCCTTCGCCCACCGCCCCACGGTCGCTCGGCCCCTCGGCTGGCCAAATGCACGGTTTTGTTTGTTTTGTTTGTTTTCGCTTGTCCGTCGGCTGCGCTGGTCGCCCCAGGCTCGCCCGCCGCCCCGCGGTCGCTCGGCCCCTCGGCTGGCCCAGTTCCATTGGTTTTGTTTGTTTTTGTTTGTTTTCGCTTGTCCGTCGGCTGCACTGGTCGCCCCAGGCTCGCCCGCCGCCCCGCGGTCGCTCGGCCCCTCGGCTGGCCCAATTCATTGGTTTTGTTTGTTTTTGTTTGTTTTCGCTTGTCCGTCGGCTGCGCTGGTCGCCCCAGGCTCGCCCGCCGCCCCGCGGCGCTCGGCCCCTCGGCTGGCCCAATCATTGGTTTTGTTTGTTTTTGTTTGTTTTCGCTTGTCCGTCGGCTGCGCTGGTCGCCCCAGGCCCGCCCGCCGCCTCCGCGGTCGCTCGGCCCCTCGGCTGGCCCCATTCATGGCTTTTTTGTTTTGTTTGTTTTCGCTTGTCCGTCGGCTGCACTGGTCGCCCCAGGCTCGCCCGCCGCCCCGCGGCGCTCGGCCCCTCGGCTGGCCCAATCATTGGTTTTGTTTGTTTTGTTTGTTTTCGCTTGTCCGTCGGCTGCGCTGGTCGCCCCAGGCTCGCCCGCCGCCCCGCGGGCGCTCGGCCCCTCGGCTGGCCCAATTCATTGGTTTTGTTTGTTCTTGTTTGTTTTCGCTTGTCCGTCGGCTGCACTGGTCGCCCCAGGCTCGCCCGCCGCACCGCGGGCGCTCGGCCCCTCGGCTGGCCCAATTCATTGGTTTTGTTTGTTTTCGCTTGTCCGTCGGCTGCAACTGGTCGCCCCAGGCTCGGCGAAAACAAACAAAAACAAACAAAACCGCGGAATGGGGCCAGCCGAGGGGCCAAGCGACCGCGGGGCGGCGGGCGAGCCTGGGGCGACCAGTGCAGCCGACGGGCAAGCGAAAACAAACAAAAGCAGACAAAACCAGTGAATTGGGCCTGCCGAGGGGCCGAGCCACCGAAAGGCTGCCAGCGCGATCGACGGACAAACGAAAACAAGCCAGAACAACCGAAATCAGCGAGGGAAGGGGCCATGCGAGGGGCCGAGCGACCTAGCGCTATTGCGCGCCGCTAAGACAGGGCCCGAAAATTTGTAATCTACTTCTTGTAATTGCTGTTGCTGTTGTTTTTTTGGGGCGGCCCCGAACGCAATCTACTTCTTCCGCCTTCCTACTTCATGTTTCTACCTACTTCTTCCGACCGGTGGGTACTCATACTCAGACCTACTCATACTCAGACTTACTCACACTCAGACATACTCATATACAGACTTACTCATACACAGACTTACTCATACACAGTATTAGTCATACCCAGACGTACACATACACAGACTTACTCATACACAGACTTACTCATACTCAGCACCCCTAAGGGGAGCCGCCAGGGGTGGTTGCACGGGCTCGTTCGCGGCCATTTTGTGGGGATGTCTCAGGCGGTTTGCCTGTTTCTGTGCCCAACATCCTTCGCTTTCGGAGCAGATTTGGAGGATGTCTCGAGCGAGGCGCTCATTTCAGCACCCCTAAGGGGAGCCGCCAGGGGTGGTTGCACGGGCTCGTTCGCGGCCATTTTGTGGGGATGTCTCAGGCGGTTTGCCTGTTTCTGTGCCCAACATCCTTCGCTTTCGGAGCAGATTTGGAGGATGTCTCGAGCGAGGCGCTCATTTCAGCACCCCTAAGGGGAGCCGCCAGGGGTGGTTGCACGGGCTCGTTCGCGGCCATTTTGTGGGGATGTCTCAGGCGGTTTGCCTGTTTCTGTGCCCAACATCCTTCGCTTTCGGAGCAGATTTGGAGGATGTCTCGAGCGAGGCGCTCATTTCAGCACCCCTAAGGGGAGCCGCCAGGGGTGGTTGCACGGGCTCGTTCGCTGCCATTTTGTGGGGATGTCTCAGGCGGTTTGCCTGTTTCTGTGCCCAACATCCTTCGCTTTCGGAGCAGATTTGGAGGATGTCTCGAGCGAGGCGCTCATTTCAGCACCCCTAAGGGGAGCCGCCAGGGGTGGTTGCACGGGCTCGTTCGCGGCCATGTTGTGGGGATGTCTCAGGCGGTTTGCTTGTTTCTGTGCCCAACATCCTTCGCTTTCGGAGCAGATTTGGAGGATGTCTCGAGCGAGGCGCTCATTTTCACCCCCCAGGTGGGCCAGATTTTGAGGATGTCTCGATCGGTTTGCTTGTTTTGGTGGCCAGGCTCGTGGGCGCAGATTCTTCTCAGGATGCCACAGGAGGCTCCAACAGGCTCCAGGAGGCTCCAGGAGACCACATGAGGTCCCAGGAGGCATCAGGAGGCCACAGAAAGACTCAAGAGGCCACAGGATGTCCCAAGAGGCTCCAGGAGGCCCCAGGAAGCTCCAGAAGGCCTCAGGAAACCACAGGAGACCCCAGGAGACAACAGGAAGCGCCAGGAGGCCTCGGAAGGCAACAGGAGGCCCCGAGAGGCCCCAGGAGCAGGAGGCCTCAGAAGGCAACAGGAGTGGCTCCAATCCCATGTGTTTTACGTATGCTCCTATCGATTGGGCCTCACCTGGAGCACGATTCTTTGATGTTCTACGTATGTTTCTATAGATGGTCCTTCTCCTGTGTACACAATCCTAAATGTTTTACTCATGTTCCTATGTATTGGGCCTCTCCTGGGGCACGAGTCCTTGGTGTTTTACGCGTGTTCCTATAGATTGCCCTTCTCCTGTGGCTCTAATCCGCAATGTTTTATGTACGTCTGTTGCTATAGATTGCGCCTCCCCTGGGGCACGAAACCTTCCTAGGAGGTCCCAGGAGGTCCCAAGAGGCTCCTGGAGACCCCAGGAAGCCCCAGTAGGTTTCAGGAGGCCCCAGGAGGCCCCAGGCTCATGCACAGAGACGCGCTCGTACTACTGAGGCTCATTCACACTCCAATTCATTCGCAGTTAGATTGATGTCCAGACCGTCACAACTGAAACCCGTTAATATTCGAAAGCTCTTGCGCCTAGACATTCACGGCGGACAGGTCCATGCGAGTAGATGCACATATGGGGAGCTCCACGCAGTGAATAATTTTATCGCGCGCAATACATTACCTGCAACGCAATGCAACACAGTTCTCTGGCGCAATACGTTTGCAACACAAACGCCCCAAATCTATTGCACCACCCCCTTTCAGCAGGACCCCCATTTGGGTCACCCAAACAAGTGCCTGCGCCGAGCAGGAGTTTTCTCGTTGAACCGTGTGACCTCACTGGTGCCTTTCGCATGGCTGTTGTGCTCTGCTTGGCTTCGGCACAGGGCCCAGCCGCTGGGAGAGCTCGCCAGTCCTGCAGAGCAAGGGGAACAGGATGTCGAATGCCCAGGGAGGACGGTTGGCCAGCAGTATTGCAATCTGGCCGTGCATTTGAATATCGCCCTGAATTTGCGGACGGGATGCGGTAAATTATTTTGAAGGTCCACGGGGGTTTTCATGAGTCGTCGTTGGACCGCCTTCCTTGTCGTGGGAAGCGCCCCAAGGGTGGCGCTGGAGGCGCCGCAAGTAGGGCGTCGGCGCCGACCAACGAAATTCCAGCGAACTCCCAAACTGTGCATGCAGTTGTTGTTATTCAATTGATGTCGAACAGCGGCTCGGGGAAACGAATTGCCGCTGTGGAAGGGGGTCGAGCTTTCTGGGGATCCCGTGTGCCGGCATCGAACGTATTGTTCGGATGGTTGTCGGGAGGGGTAGCCAGTATCATGACACGCGCGTCGTAGTCCAGTCGACGCGTGCGACTCAGTCGTTTTTTGAACACGCGCCTGGTATTTTGCCAGCAGTAAGAAGTTGATTGGCTCGCCCGGCTGGCGTGAGATTGAGAGTATGTCTGTTCTCCGATGGTTGTTGTACAGTTTTCGAGTCTTTGATGGGCCCCAGCCGTACGGGACTTCTGGATACTTCGGTACGTGCTGGGTTACGAGAGCGGAGGAGGAGGGGGAGAAGATGAGGATGAGGATGAGGATGAGGGTGAGGAGAGAATGAGGATGAGGATGATATTGAGGAGAGAATGAGGATGAGGATGATGCTGATGCTGATGATACTTGTAATGATGCTGCTGCTGCTGATGCTGATGCTGATGCTGATGCTGATGCTGATGATGATGATGATGATGATGATGATGCTGATGCTGATGATGATGATGATGATGATCATGATGATGATGATGATGATGATGATGATGATGATGATAATGATGATGATGATGCTGATGATGCTGATGCTGATGCTGATGCTGCTGCTGATGCTGATGCCCCTCCTCCTCCTGCTCCCTCCATTCCTCCCTTCCTCCCTCCCTCCCTACTCCCCCCCTCCTCCTCCTCCTCCTCCTCCCTCCTCCTCCTCCTCCTCCTCCTCCTCCTCCTCCTCCTCCTCCTCCTCCTCCTCCTCCTCCTAGGCCCACCATGGGAAGGATACGGGGCCGCGCGGGGGGGCGCCACCCCGCCACCGCGCCAGGCGCGGCGCCGTGGCGCGGGCCATGCTGGCTGCTGCCGCTGGGTCAAGTGGCCGCACTGGCAGTCGCTTGCGATGCCGCTGCTCTTCGGGGTTTTCAGCCCTCTGTCGGCGGTCAGGGGCAGGGCCGAGGACATTGCGGAGGAGACTGCCTACTTCGACGTCCTCGGGCTAGTCGGCACGCAGAATCGCGCTGTTCCTGGCCATTCCCATGGACCCCAGGACGACGGACGAGGCAGGCTGATCATCGATTCGGGCTGGGGCAATGGAGTTTTTACCAACAAACCGACTGGATGCAGGATTTTGTGGGGAAGGCGCGTCAAAAAGGACCATCTCAGGCGTGTGTTTCCGACGCCTGCAACACTACAGGGGCGGGTGCTGGCGGCTCGGTGCAAGAATGGGTTATTGGACAGCACGGCGGTCACTATGTATTACCTACCCACCATGCCCGCACAACGCCAAAGCGGAATTTCTCGCTGCCCATCGTCATGCCATGCCCGGCCTCAGCGATGGCATAGGATGGACTAAATGCACGTACGCGGACAGCGGGGCCATTTCGGAAGGAAGCGCGACGCTTGAATTCCTACAGGGAGCAGCTTCTCTTGCGACATCATACGGCGATCTATGTGTATATATATATATACACACGTATAACGACAATCGGCTCCCTACGTGGCTCGGGAACAATAGGGGGACTTCTAGATTGGACTGCGTTGCTGGACCTGTGGCCTGGATGGGTGAACTTATCAGTTCTACGCCTCTCCATCGGCTCGGCAGACGCCTCCAGGCCATCCCTGACACAGTCTCGCGCGACCACGTACCTGTCCATGCGCGTTTATGGAATGACAAGCTGGCGGCGACGGCGGAGGGCGCAGAGGTGGCTCAACGAGAACGTTGGGACGATGATGCCTTGGTGTATGCACTGCGACGGGGGGACAGAAAGCACGGCCACCTCACGGCGCTCAACACACGATTGCGGGGCACGATGGACACATGGAAGTCACTTGGATTACACCGAGCGCCCGACGCCATCTTCAGCTATTTTGAAGATCGGATGGTACATATTGGGCAACTACATCTCGTGGAGCCACCTCACGTTGACAATCGGTTTCGTAAGCTACGGCAGGTTTGGCAGGCATTATTCAGACAACGAATGGATCTTCTCGAAGCTACATGGGCTTCGGACGAGACTAAGCAGCAGGTGGCGACTCTGCTACGTGCCATTTCTAAGCAGCGTGGGAGAGTACTGGCTTGGGTCACTGGGCAGACCAGGGACATGATCTCTAGCGAAATACAGGACAACTGGGAACACCGGCGTTTCTCACCAGCATGCCGTGCGACTGTGCGTCTGGGTAGTTCACGTATTGGGACCACGCGGAGGGATCTTCGGGCACCACCTTTGGCGAATCCTACGAAGTCGGATTGGACGGAGATGCTCAGCAAGCCAGGACACCAAGGAGGCATGAGCGCGGTGGAGGTCACGCACCACCCACAAGCGGCAGGGCCAGTGATTGAGAGTGAAGAGCTACTTGATGAATCACTCCGCGCACCAGACCCATGGGGGCACTTCACAGAAGAGGATGAATTACCACAATTCAACGATGATCATGCCTCGGGGGCGTACCTGGAGAGCCAGTGCGACCTCAAGCGCTTGAGGTGGCACCTCCGGCGTACCCCCAAGCGCAGGGCCTGTCCTGCGCAGTCGCCATTTGCTGAGCTTTTCTGGATGGCGCTCAACCCACAGAGAGACCAGCTTCGCAAGGGAGTTGGACACGACACCGCGGACGCGGACACCGCCGATGTCGAAGCCTGCTTGCATCTGGCTTTCTTCAACCTGCGCCACCATCAGCTCACGCCCTCCAGCTGGCACATCAGTGAATTCTATCCCGCAACGAGAGAACGGGGATTACGGCCCGAAAGGGCGACGCCTGCTCCACATCTTACGAGTTCTGGGAAAGGTTTCTCTGCCACCTGCGCCTCGGCTCGACGGCCAGAACCTCTCCCCCAAGAACACCGCGGATGCGCGCGGGGAAGGCGGAGAGAGACTGCCATTCTCGCATCCATGGCGACGGCGCGCCGTCTGAGGCGGGCGCAATGCAGCTACACCGACAGCTTCAAGGACATGACCGACGCTTCCCCTTCTGTGGGATGGACTCACATGGAGCAGGCGGCCCACGAGTTGGTGCGACCACGGGGCCTCCGACTGGCGCTCCGGCGCATGCGACGTGCGCAGGTGCATTTCCAGCAGCAGAGGGTGCGCGCGACTAACGCCCGACCGAGGGGGGCCTCATGGGGGGCCCGTTCATGGCGCACTGTTCCCTTTGCGCCTTTGCCCACGCCATTGAGCCATGGACGCAACAGTGGCGAGGACAAAATGATGCTGACAGAATGCTGGCGGTGAAGTGCCCCTTGCACGCGCGGAAGTGGGTCTCAGCTTGCATCTATGCGCGGGCGACATCAACGTGGAGGTTTTTTCGGCATCCACATGCGCCCGAGGATCTGGTCAACATTGACAAGCTCAGGCGCGAGCCACAGGACAGTGAGGGACTAATGGGTACGCAGCTACGGCACATTGGAATGGCGCAGAACAAGAAGAAACATACCACCCGCATCGCGACCCATGGCTCTGGTAGCGCGATTGCGAGGCGGCAACTACGGCAACGAGAAAAACGTGACTTGTGGCCCGGACAGCTGGTGGGTCAGGCTCGCAATTTGGGGCGCACTGTCACCGGCGCGCAAGGCTTCGCCGCTGAATTGGCAAAGGAGATACTGGCGGCGAGGCGGCGTTCTCCTCGATGGGCCCTTGCTGTGGCGGAGGTGGAGGCGCGCGGCGCTGGGGCGGGCGGTCAACGCAGCGCTGTCAGCTGTGGAAGCATTCCTGCCGTCCCAACGGCAGTGCGACACCCTAAACAATGTCACCGCGCCTCTGGCGAGGATAGCGATGACTGGTCGAGCGCGCGCCCGCAACGAGGGCGGCACGACCAGGTCACCGACGAATCGCGAGGTTCTGGCGCACTGGCGGATCGCGCGCTGCAGTGCTGAGCCCCGAGTGAGACGCTCGAGGTGGCTTCAGCAGGCGGCGGATGATTGCGACAATCATGCGCAGCTCTTTGCCTCCCCCTTCAGATCCATCTGCGGGCAGTGGCAGAACGCCGTGGCGCACGACGACAGCCTCAACGCCTGCGCCCACCCAGGTCGACCTGGATTTCCGAGCTGAGTGTTCGGAAGAGGCGCAGGCGCGTTTTTGACGAATCGGGCACGGACATCGCAGCCCGGCTAAAGAACCCGGCCTGGAAGGCAGAATTTGCAAACATCGATGTCAGTATTCTCAGGTCCAGGGAGTTTAAAATCAACGCGGCGCCCCCCCTCCACAAGCCCCGCGAGCCCCTGGGGGCCCTGGGGGAGGAGGAGGACATCCAGGAGGCGGTGGAGGTCTACAAGTGCGGGGTGGAGGTGGAAGGGATCAGGTGTGGACAGGCATTCAACAGTAATCGAGCACTACGCACACACATTCGGCACGTTCATAACATTGTCAATTTGTGTTCGCTGTGCACTCCGATCAACCAGTGCATCGCGTGCGAGACGGTGTTCGCGTCGGTGCTCACGGCTCGTCGGCACCTGGTCAGATCGATTCAACGAAGCTACTGCGTTGTTGACATGGCTCGGTCGCTCACCCTCGCGGATGACCCCAAGTCCCTTGAGTGTCCTGGGCGCGCCTACGTCGCATGCCCTTAGCTCGAGCTCAGACAGCACCTGGCTCGACACTTTCCATTTCTTCCAGACCAGAGAGCCCCAGCCACTGTGGGCAAGAACATCCTCTAAGCGGCGGCGAGCTCAAGCTCGGGCAGCGCGCCGCAGTAGATGAGCGACGCGGGCATCGACCTGGACGGCGGGCGGTGCCCCCAGAAGAGCAACCAGAGGGGGGTCGGCGTCGGCTCCACAGCAGAGGGCGAGCAGCGCACGGCGGCGAAGCACAAGATGGGCGAGGAGGTGCTCGCGGACGCGAAGTCGGCCGCGGGCAGAGGAGCCAGCAAGGCGCAGGTGGTGCAGCAGCTCGTCGCAATCCTAGGCAAGCTCGTGATGTCGCTCGCTGGGGACCTGCGCTCGGTCACCAGCGCGGTGTTCGTCGCGGCGCCGGTGCCGCTGGCCTCGCTGTTCATCATGATGGCGATTCAGGCGGGCAGGGGCCACCACGAGGACGCCATGCAGCTCAGGGAGGCGCGCGAGACGGACGAGAACATCGACACTGCGCAGCTGGGCTCGCCGCTTTTTCAAGCGTGGAAGGATTTCGCGCGGGCCCTTTCTCGCGAGTGCAGAGGAAGGCCAGGCCAGGGACGCCCTCTCAAAGTACTGGAAGGATCACGCGATGCAGTACGAGTTCAAGGACATGGACCAGGACATCAAGCACTTCAGGGCGAGGGTCCCGCAGGGGAAGAAGCTCCAGGAGCGCCCCAAGAGGATGGATAACAAAGTCAGACTCTAGCGGGCCCTCACGACCACGCAGATCGGCACGGAGCTCAATCCCGTCCTGCGCGCGGAGTCTTGGAGAGGGTCGAGGGCGCTCTTCAGCTAGCTCCAGCACAGCTCGACGAAGAAGGTCGACGGCGCATGCAGCTGCTCCTGTCCAGCGACAGGCTCGGGCAACTAATTTCACGGGGGGTCGTCAGCAGGGGGGCGTTTTTTTTCCGTCCCTTACCTCTCCTCTCCTTTCGAAGATCTCCCCATGCGACTCCCAGGGCCGAGACATTCCCGTGGCCAGAATTCAGCCGCGTCCTACAGGGCGCGGGAAGGGTAGAGGGAAATCCCAGTCCCCCCGCCCCGCCCCGCGCGACTTCGGAGCGGGATGCCGTTTGGCGCCCATCTCCTAGGTGACTCGCGAGCGTGGGCTGCCACCCCTGCGCCCAATGCTCGTTCCTCTTGGGTTGCAGGGGGGCCAGTGTGTCTCCCACCAGTGCCAGTGACATGAACAGCTGCAGCCCGACCCTCGGAATGCCGCCCAGCGAAGCTAATCGGAAAGTAGACCACCCATTCTCTCGTCGCCAAGGGATGTCTAAGTCGAAGTCTCCTCCTCCTCATCCTCTTCCTCCTCTTCCTCCTCCTCCCGGCGCCCGCCCGCGGGCGCCCCCTGGGCGCCCCGTGGGGCCGGGCAGGTTCGCCCAGGAGTCTCGCCCGGTCCCCGCCCGCGGGCCGAGATGTCTCGCGCGGTGCCGTGCGCCGTGTTGGCGCCCCGTGTGCTGGAGGCGTCAGCCCAGGTGTCAGTTGCTTCGTCGGCGTTTCGTGCTCCGGGCAGCCGCTCAGCCGCTAAGCGGCAGCTAAGGTATAGGGGTGCACGCTAAGCCTTGGCGTGCACCCCACAGTTTTTGCCATGCAGCGTGCACCGCACAGTTTGCACAGCGCAGCTTACGCAACACAGCTCGCAAGACAGAGCTTGCAAAACGCAGCCTGCACCACAATAGCCTTCATCGCAGGTTGCACCACACGGCTTGCACCAAATAACTTACACCACGCAGTTTGCGCCAACCACCTGGTTTGCACCTCGTAGCTTGCACCAACTAGCTTAAGCATCCACAGTGCAACCATTGATAGTTGGTGGTCCACACTGGCAACCAAGGTTCAAAGGCAACGTTTGTTTTCTTGGATGGGGGAGGAGTGCGATGATGGGAGATCAGCAGAAGCGGCACAAAACACGGCGCGTGCAACAATTTACACGGGCTTCGAATGAGAGCGCACGACGCGAGCGTCCGTAGCGGTCGTATCACGAGGGGCGCCCTCACCAACGTTTTGGGGACACATTTCTGTATATGTTTGGGCGTACAAGAGGCCGGTGTGGGCGAGAATCGGGTGTGTGATGTGATTGAACAGGGCCCGCTAGAAGAAGGGGACGACCAGGGTGTTGTTTTTTCCCTGCGACAGGGAGTACCGAATCTGGTCGTATGAATTGGAGTAATCACCGCAACATGGACTGCAAAGCATAAGCGTACAGAAACCAGAGCACGATACTCTTGAGGAAGCAGATTGCGAGAATGAGGCGAATGGTGAGGAGGGGTGCGTTCGTGCCGGGACCAGCGAGTTGTAGCCGAGTTGAATTGGGCCTCAAGCGGTGCGAGGGGATGCCGCCGCCGTTTGGGCGGAATTCGGCACGGGATTCGTGTGTCATTCGCTTCTCCGTCCATATCGCTCGTTCTCTCTCTATCTCTCTTTTTCTGTGTCTCTCTCCCTCTCTCTCTCTCTCTCTTTGTTTTCCTTGTTGTTTTGTTGTTCTCTCTCTCTCTCTCTTTTTCTCCCTCTCTCTCTCTTTCTTGTTTTCTCTCTCTCTCTCTCTCTCTCTCTTCGAGCGGAGGAGGAGGCGGAGGACGAGGAGGTGGTGGGAGAGGCGGAGGGGGGATGTTGGCGGAAGGGAGGACGAGAAGGAAACAGGGCGAGGGAAAAGGGAGAGGCTCGCAGACGCGAGGAGAGGGTGGCGGAGGAGGAGGAGGAGGAGGAGGAGGAGGAGGAGGAGGAGGAGGCAATGGAGGAAATGGAGGAGGAGGACGAGGAGGAGGAGTAGGAGGAGGAGGAGGAGGAGGAGGAGGAGTTGGAGGTTGGAGTTGGAGGAGTTGTAGGAGGAGTTGGAGGAGGACCTCCCTCGCTCGCTGCCTCTCGATGGTCACGCGCTCCAGGTGCAGCGAGCGAGGGAGGGAGGTCCAGATTACCCAGAGGAGGTGTAGGGAGGGTGGACGCCCAAGAAAGCATCATTCCCAACCCCCTGCGTCCCTCCTGCCGATCTCCTTCACACCTCCCTCCCTCTCTGCCCCCTTCCTCTCCGCTCCCTCGTTCCTCCCTCATCTTGCTCCGCCCCCCTCCCTCACTCCGTCCTTTCTCCCTCCCCCATCTCTCCGTCTTTCTTCTTCGTTAATCCTGTTCATGCCTCCTCCTCCTCCTGAAGATTTGCGAGCATGTATGCAAGCATGCGACTCTCCACCGACATGATCCGAAACAATTCGATCTTACCCGACAAGCACAAAATGCGTTGCCATCTTCTTCCCCTCACCCTCCTCCTCAACCAGAGTCATCCGCGGAGATTCTCGGAGGTGCCAGGAAGACCCAAGAAGCTTAAGAATGGGGGCAACAATGTCCAAAGCCGTCCTCTTCCCTCCTCCTCCTCCTCCTCCGTCTCCGCCCCTTCTCCTCCTCCTCCTCTTCCGCCTCCTCCTTCTCCTCTTCCTCCTCCTCCTCCTCCTCTTCCCTCCCCCTCCTCCTCCTCCCTCTCCTCCTCCTCTTCCCTCCTCCTCCTCCTCCTCCTCCTCCTCCTCCTCCTCCTCCTCCTCCTACCTCCTCCTCCTCCTCCTCCTCCTCCTCCTCCTCCTCCTCCTCCTCCGCCTCCTCCTCCTCACTCCCGCTGCTGCCGCCGCTCTGCCGCACATCGGTGTGATTTCCTTCGGCCCTCGAATTGGGGCCGGCCATCGCACCCCCCCGCCCCCGTCCGCCAGGGAAGGGCAGGGAGCGGCACCATCCAGGCAGGATGTTCGAGCGCTGCCAGAAGTGCCCCTGGCCCAAGGTGCCCCCCAGGATTTCCAAGGAGGCCCCCACGGCCTCCAGCACCCCTCACGAGGCCCAGAGGGTTCCAGGGGCTCCACACTTTGGCAAAAAGTTGGGGGCACGTTGGGCCAGGGGTACCTCTATCCACCCCGAGATGTGAGTCGCAGAAGCGGTGCCGACGGCGGCAGCCGCAAGGTTGCGCGCCCGCTCCAGCTGGCCGCTTGGCCCAGGCCAGCCCCGCGAGCGCGCTGGCTAGCCCGCCAGGCGCTCTCGACACGGCCCCTCGTCGGAGAGCCCAGGCGTCTCTCTTTGCACGTTGTGCTCGTTCGCTTGTAGGTTTCCAGTGCTGCAGTCGGAGCGGTCATGGGCTGGCGCCCCGCGGTCGTGCTCACGCTCGTGCTCCCTGTCCTCTCTTCCTCCTAAGCCAGGTGGAGAAGTGGACGTCCAGGACGAGCTGACTGGCGACACGCAGCTGAGACTGACTACCGCACGGCGCTCCCTGCACCAGGAGGCCCGCCGGCGGGGAAGCAGAGACCTCAGCCAGACCAAATGAGGGAGGATGACGAGGAGGGAGGCAGGGAGGGAGCTGGGGGAGAGGCTCCGCCCAACGATCGATGCTCCTCGATGTGTGTGTTTGTGTGTGTGAGTGTGTGTGTGTGAGTGTGTGTCTGTGTGAGTGTTGCTGTGTGTATGTGCGTATCTGCTACGCCAGGTGGAGTGAATGCTAAGCGTGGCACGCCTTAACCTCTCGCTGTAGCGACGTCTTTCGGTCGCTTGACGAACAATCGCGCTTGTGTGTGTGTGTGTGTGTTCGCCTGGGTTTCGTCCTCCTCCCGAGGTCGTCGTGTCGTTGTTGCCGGTCCCGTCTACTCCCTCTCCCAGTCTCGGGTTCGCCCCTCCAGGGCGTCGTCCCCTCCTCTGCCTTTTGCGTCCTGCTGTGTTTGCTCTGCCGGGCTGTCCACCTCGGCGCCCGCGCCAAGGCCTCGGGTGTCATCTCGTGGCCTGCCTTCGCCCGCCAGCCCGCAACCAGGCCACCTGCCACCCGCCGCCTGTGCCCACCCCCCATGTGCGTACCTGCGCGGGTGCCCGCCGCATGCGCTTAAGTCGGGCCTGCCCTCTGTCCCTCTACAGGAGCAACATGCAAGCATAGTCAAACATGGTAGCCTGGGGACGATTTGTTCCACTATCTTTGATGATTGTTGCGCATTCTTGGGGTATTTTTTTATATTTGTCGTCCAGAACCTGCCTGTAGGGAGACACGCCCGACCTAAGCATACGCCTGTCGCTTGCCGGCCCTCGTTGCCTCCCCGAGTGGCGGGCAACGCTTCCGCCTGTGGTCCAGTCGCGAAGATTGCAGGCGGCATTCGGATAAACTTTTGGCGCTCCGCGCGGAGTTCTTGGATCCGCGCTGCACGGGGCCCAAAGGTATACACCACCACCACCACCTCCCTCATCCCCTCCCTCTCCCAGGACTTCCAGGACTTCCACCATCACGAAGTGATAACCAGGCTAGGCTCAGCACTTCGGAAACAGACCGCGATTACTCCTGTCAAGATGTTCGCGCCCGGCCTCCGAGGGTGGCAAACTGCACGGCTCCCCAAGCCCTCTGAGCTGGGCCTGACCGAAAAGCCCTCCCTCCCTCATCCCCTCCCCATCCCGGGAGAGAGGGGAGAGGAGGACGAGGGCTGAGGAGGCCCACGGGGCCCAAAGGCATACACCACCACCACCACGGAGCTCTTGGATCCGCGCTGCACGGGGCCCAAAGGTATACCCCACCACCACCTCCCCCATCCCCTCCCTCTCCCGGGAGAGAGGCGAGGAGGACGAGGGCCGAGGCGGGCGGGCGGGTGGTACATATACAGTCGGGGCCCTGAAGAAGCAACCCTTTTCGTTGGGGAGGGGCTCCGTGTTCTTAATTGTTTCGCAGCTTGCCTTAGGTTGTCCTTAGGTTTTCGATGGGGAATCGAAGTTTAACTTATGGGAAAAAGGGGGCCTCGTTCCTTCTTTAGGGTTCCTTAGGTCAACGCCTCGACTGTACACCGCCACCACCTCCCTCATCCCCTCCCTCTCCCGGGAGGGAGGCGAGGAGGACGAGGGCCGAGGCGGGCGGAGGAGTCGACGTGGCGGGCGGTGCATGTATACTTCTGGGGCCCGCACGCCGGGCCCCCCCTCGGCGGCGCCTCGTGGCGCCCCACACGCACACACGGGCGCGCTCTCCGCGCGCCAGGGAGGGGGGGGGCCAGCGAAGATCCAAGAGATCCGCGCGGAGCGCCTCCTCCTCCTCCTCGTCCTCCTCCTCCTCCTCCTCCTCCTCCTCCTCCTCCTCCTCCTCCTCCTCCTCCTCCTATGTTGCTTCGCAGCTGTTCCGATTCCGATTCCGATTCCGATTCCTCCTCCTTCTTAGGTTTCAGCCTCTGTTGCTTCTTCCACTCGGCCGCCTCTTCTCGGCATCCTGGCCGCCCGCCCCTGCTGCCGGGCAGCCCCGCGGCCGCGCCAGCGCCTGGCCGGTCCTGCCGGCCTCTCTGCATGTGCTTGGCAGTCGTGCGCGCCCGCTGCCTGCACGCGCAACCGTTTCGGCGGCGGCCTTCCCTATTTGCACACGATCGGTGGTAATCATCCTAGCGCAACTCGCCAACGCCGTCGCTGCGTCTGTGTGTGTGCGTGTGCGTGTGCGTCTGCGTCTGCGTCTGCGTGCGCGTGCGCGTGTGCGTGTGCGTGTGCGTGTGCGTGTGTGTGTGTGTGTGTGTGTGCGCAGCGTGGCCCTCTCTGGTAGAGACTCGAGCACCTCGTTGAGGCTGCTGCGTGGCGGCGCCGCGGCACGTTCCCGGGCCGTGTTCGCTTTTGATCGAGTCTGACTCCGCCGTGTCGCCGCGCACAAGGTAGGCCGCGACGCCCCCGCCAAAACAAGATTCAATATCGATTCTGGCCACTTCGATCCGATTCGATGTTGATGTATGGGCGACCCGATCCGATGCTTGCATGGCGCTGTCGAGCAGCCTGGAGCCACGGATCCCGCTCGATTCCGACCATGCGCCGGTGTGGCCCGATTTGGCACACCTTCCGATTCGAACCGATGTCCCGATTCGATATAGTGATCGTTTTCTCATTCGGCGTTTTGCCGATCGGCGCGGGCCCTCGCACCCCCCCACCCCCCCCGATGGAGTAGACCTTGGCTGTGTTGGGCGCCTGCTTCAAGCAGGTGGACGGCTGCCAATAGGACTGCCCATGGGGGCACTGCTCCAGATAGTCGCACTACGCAGAGGTCCAGAGCCAGACCTCTCCCCCTCCCTCCTCTCCCGCTCAATATCGAAACGCCGAATAAGAGAACGCTCACATGCGCCAGGTTCGCGTCGTGTCGACAAGCGGCGACCCCAGCGCGGGCGTGCAAGGTTGGACTCCGCCTGTGGCCCAGAGTCGGCCCATCCTTGAACCATCTGGCCTCCTTGAGAGGGCCGAGCGTTCAAGCATGAACGATCCCGGCGGCGTCAGGAAGCAAGATTAGGCACGACGCGAACCTGCCATACTCGGGCGGCGAGCGAGGGGGGGAAGTGAGAAGGGGCGGGCCTTCTTGGAAGGATGCTCGGAAGCCCCCCGGCCTTCTGCGAAGTTTTCGGCGCATTCCCCGAAGACGCCGAAAGCTTCTCGGAAGGCGCACCGGCTTCTGAGAAGAGTCCCGCCGCCTTCTGAGAATCGACTAGGCGTAAGAGTGACCTTTCGCCGCAGTGACCTTTGGTGCGGGCCCAATGGGGTCCCCCGATCGCAGAACGCGATGCGATGGTAGCGGCTTCCGCGTTTGTGTTTGGTGTTTGGCCCCCCCTGCGGCGCCCCAAACGCCGCGCACCAAAGGTCACTCTTACCCAGGATCACTCTTGTGTGCAGTCGAGAGAAGGCCTTCTCCTCCTCACTTCCCCCCCCCCGCGCGCCGCTGGGTGCCGACCGACTCCGTCGCCCCCTCCCCAGCCGCAGGGCGCCACCAGGTGGCTCTTCGACTTCTCCGACGTGCTCCTGCTCCCCGAGATCGACGAGGCGGGCCCCCCCCTTGCCGGGCGCGGGGCACCGGGGACGCCGGGGCGAGGGGGGGGGGTCAAACAGTGGCGAAGCGTCCTGGCGTGCCTGTAGTCCCACCAAAGAATGCTCTAAGAGCCTTCTTGTGGTTCCCACGAAATGTTCCTGGAACATTTCTGGCTGGGACTGTCTTGTTTTGTCACGTCGGGGTTATGTTCTAAGAACGTTGTGCTTGTTCGTAGAACACTTGTGGCTTCTAAGAACATTTCGTTGTAGGACTGTAGGACTGCCTCGACGGTCGGTCCCTGCTCAAGGGGGGGCGAGGTGCAGCCGACGGGCGAGGGCGGCCCAGACTCGGGTCGGGCCTGTCCCTGCACAGGAGAGTAGTAGGACAGAAGAGTCGGGGGGCGATGTTTCGATTCTTTCTGTCTACTTGTCAACCTTTTTTGGGGCTATTTTATATTTCTCCTCCCAAATCCGCCCGCAGGATTGCGATCTCCCAACCAACGTTAGCCTGGATCACCAGAGAGAGCTTCGAGCACCAAGAGAGTACGTAAACTGCAGGGCTTTCGCGGGAGGGCTTTTCGTGCGTCCGGCCTTGGGAGGCGATACTCGTTCGATACTATTCGATACTTCTTTGGGTGCTCGAAATCATTTCTGGGATGTGGTCCTTAAGTTCAACACTCTTAACGTAAGTGGATTATATTTGTATCATTTTCAACACTTTTCAACGTTATGATGTTTGATTATTGCTGATTCTGCTTCAACATTGTTTTGCTATTTTCCACTTTTCCTCCCAAGTCCGCTTGTAGGAGGACACGCCCGACCTACACCCAGACCCCTGCCTGTCGTCGTGGCAGGCCACGAAAAAATCAGAACGTCGTCGTCGCCGTCGTCGTCGTCGCTGTCGTCGTCGTCGTCGTCGTCGACGTCGTCGCCGTCGTCGACGTCGTCGTCGTCATCGTCGTGGTCGTCGTCGT